ATTGTGGGTAATTCGATTTTTTCCCCTTCCTTTGGACAAATTAAAGACCGGTGGTGAACCAATGAATTAAAGATTCAAATTAATCCAATAATTTGTTATTCAATTCTCAACGCGACAACTGCACGTGATTATTGTCGTGTATCAGAAAAGCTCGCCTGAGGTTGCGGACTTTCGGTTCAAAAAATGAGACAAATGTTGTTGTAATTGCACGACAATTTTGATGGCGATGTCGTCGTTGTAGATCTGAAGACTTGTTAAACTCGTAGACTCGATAACATTGTTGTTGAGCTAGTTACATGGTATGAAAGAAAGTTTAAGGGAGGTGAGCCATGCACGGTTGTGTTGTTGTTGCAGTGTTTGAAACAAAGGTGGAGGAGTTGTTACACCTGTTGATGTTGTTGTGCAAGTGTTTTTCCATACGCATCAAACCTTGCTTAAACAACTCAAATCTACTGCGGAATGTGGAATGGATCAATACAATACGAGCAAGAATTGGCAGCAGCTGAAAAAACAAGCAATAACGAGTTAAATCAGAAAATCTTGCTGGAGCCAAAAACGGTTAGCTGCGCTTGGGAGCGGTGCGTTTGTGATGGATTTTGTGGTGATGAAAGAAAGCTCACAATGGAGGGAGGTATATTAGAAAGGATGGTCATTGGTGGTAATGAAGGGAAAGGATATGTGAGAAGGAAAGCGTGCAGTTTTGTATTTTTTGAGTTACAGGTGAAGTTCCACGGTGGTATATTGTTTTGAAACTTATCACGAGGGTAATGGCTACTGCGTGAATCATGTAAGGAAGAATATCCAATCTTCCTCCATTATTTATTCCTCTCACTTTCTAATTTTTTCATGTGAGAAAGACCATGTGAAGATAAGCATTATTATTGATGATCTGTTTTTGTGGTTTATGAGTTTAGTGATGTGATAAAATAATATGAGAGCTGATACATTAATGATATAGGAAGTCTAAAAAAGATTAATAATATGAGTGGGTGTGTGAACAATAGGTTTTGTAGTGTGGTTAGTAGGCGTGGGTGGAACTGAGGGAGGAATATGAAAGATGAGGTAGACGATATCTTCTTTAAATATCTAAGCAAGTGCCCTCTTTAAAACACAAAATATTCACTTTTTTTTATTTTCTTTTTTTCAAATCAAACTAAGAGAAAGTGAGACGTGGAATCAACAAAATACACAGTGAGGTCATTTTCATGTTCAGCGAGCACTACTATCCTATAAAATGGAGAAAGAAATAAAAGGAGTTTTGTAACCCTTAAGAATTAAGTGCTACTCTAAATATAAAAGAAAATTTTAAAATAAAACTAAATTAAAAATCTGATTAAAATGACTATTTAATTAAAAATTAAAATAAAACTGGTTAAAAACGAATAAATTAGATTGGTATCGAAATGCTTGAAAAATAAAAATTAATACACCAAAACGATCCGCGCGAAATAAACAATTCGAAAAGATACAGCGTTTGGTCAAATTTCGAAATAAATTTTACCCAGTTAAATGACTTAAATTGATCAAAACGCAATCGAAAAGCAGTCGAAATATTAAAACGAGCATGTCAGGTTAAACTATGCTGAACATAGATTAAAACCACTAACGTTTGCAATCTCGATTTTGAAATTTTTTGTCCACTAATTTTACGCACAATTGACTTTTAGTTTTATCGATTCAACTGTAAATCTAACAAGTTCATTTGGCTAACAAATTGGGCATTATGTGTGATGCAAGGCAAGTTATACTATACCAATGATGCAAAGAGAAATAAAGTCAGATGAATGCAAGTTTAAAATGTCTGGTCAAAATTTGGGGTATGACAAGGGTCAGTGAAACAAACAATCTACATAGCATATAATAAACTCAACTTCATACAACATCATACAACAACACAAGATATTATGTAATGTTTTAATAATTTAAATAACAATGTCTTGTTCTTGTTATTAAAATATTAATCAACAACAACACAATAACATACAACAAAATAAGGTTCAAGAACAACAATAGCGACATACAACAACAATATAAAACATAAGATATTATGTAATGTTTAAAAAACGCACATTTTTTTAAACTAATCGTGGATCCGGAACAAATTATGATTTTTATCTAGTTTATGAAGCTATGAAGAATAAGTACAAGATGAATGAAGTTAACACAATAGCTTTATACTTCTTGTATTTTTCTTCATAGCTACACAAACCATATGTATCATAGTTAAAGTATACGCTTTGTTAAAGTGGTGAAGACGAATCTGAAAAAATGAAAATATTCACCAAATAAAAAATGAGAACCCATTTTTAAAAAGAAATGAAAACGAAATCAAAACATAAGTTTAATGAACAAACTTGAAATATGATTAAAGAGTATCATAGCGATTGGCGAAGACGAAATTGAAGGCTTAAGAAAGTATAAAGAGTGACATGGATGTTAGGGTTATGTTATGAGAGAGAATAATGAAATATGTTATGGTTTTCATTTGAGAGAAACGATTATTATGTATTGAACAATAAATACTTTCGCTTATATAGTAAAAAATATCACATTTCATCACGGTTAGAAAAAAAATTGTGATATAATATATCACTTTTACAACTGTTCTTTAATAAATTCGTGATTAAATCTCTCACAATTTTTTATTTATTTATAAACTCAATTGTGTGAGAGATATTAATTGTTATTATTATTATTTTTTTATTATTGTTGTAAAACAAATAATAGTGTATAAATGAAAAAATATATATAAAGATTGTGCATTCATAATAGACAAATTCATAATAAATAAAGGTTGTGCATGGTGCAACATTAGTTGTACATCTTAGACAAATTCTTCCTTTTTCGTAAATTTAAAGAAAATTTTAATTATGATATGATAAAGTCAATGAAAATAGTTTCTTGTGCTCTCTCATGACAAAACCCAACTGTATCCCATTGACTCCTATCATCCACCCATTAATGGCCATAACTTTTTTTTTCTTCTACTTTTATATTTTTGCCACCAATATATATATATATATATATATATATATATATATATATATATATATATTTTGTAAAGATGTGAATTCGAATCTGCAGTATTTCGTTTGTTCAGTTTTAATAAGATAGATTTTAACCACTAAATTATTTAATAGTCTTTCATATTTAAAAATGTTGATTGAACTTAATCTTCTATCTACATATATTCATCAAATGTCTTACTTGACAATTAAAAATAAATAAATTATATCTTCAACTTATCGAGAATATTATATGGTTGTTATATATCTAATCCATTAAAATTAATAATAAAAAGTTGTTTGAGATTGTAGCCTCATTGCTGTGAACGAAAATCTAACGAGAATGATTCAACTTTCTAACAAATTCAAGACTTCCTTGAATGACTTGTGAGTTTTCTATGTAAGTATTTTTAAGAATATTCTTTAAATTTTTTAGATTTTTGTGAACAAGTTTTTTGGACTCAATTTATTATATTTCACTTTAAATATATTAAATTTAGAATATCCAGGAATATATCGATGCTAATTCAATTTTTTATTTATGAAAATACAACATAAAAATTCATTGCCTTTTCTGACCCTTAAAAAAATCAAATATAGTTGTTTTGTATATTCCTCATTAATTTATGTGAATAATTTGACTATTCTATAATACACCACTTTTTAGATTGTTGATTATTCATAAATAATGATTATTTGATTTCTAAATTAAATAGGATAAAATCAAACTTCTTTAATGATCAATTATTATGATTGATATATTGTGTAAAAAATGACAACAAATATTAAGTTAATTAAAATTGACCAACACATAAAAATAATTAATGACATAGTTAATTGATTAACTAAATACATATTTGATCACCAAAATAATTAATAAAATATACGTTGTAGACATATTTACAGTTTTAATACATTAAGTAACATTAAAGGGGGCGTATTGGAATTAAAATTTAAGACTTTATATGACTATATTAACTTTCTTATTTTATTTTTTTAAAGATTGTATAGTTTGGATTTATAATAGGATTTTAAGATTTTAAAGTATCTTATGGATTTTTAAATTTGAAATGAAATATTATATATTTTATAAAAAAACAATTAAAAAATAATAAATAAATTTCAAAATTAATAAAATGTTAAATTGTTTAATAATAAAGTGATATTGCTTAATTTTTTTTGTTATATTCTCAAAAGTATATTCTCTACATATTTTAAAAAATATTGATCATCCATAAATTAATATCTTATTATTCACTCGCGTATAAACAAATTCATAAGAATTTTTTTTTCTGTTGATAATGATGACAATTCTTTATTAGATTCAACTTAAACTTACTAAAAAAAATAAAATTTTACAAACAAAATTCTTAAATGTTGCACGTGGCAGCAAACAAGTGTTTTTTCTATTTCAAATAAAATAGAAATAATTACATAGGACCACATATATATTCATATTCTTATAAATAATTAATAAAAGAGATAAAAGTTTTAAATTTATTTTATTTGAAATCATAAAATGGTGATGATAATGAAGGAGAGAGAAATTTTACTTTTATTTTTTAATTAATATCAAAATTGTGATTGATTGCTTATAAAATGAGGTGTTATCTTCAATTCTATGCAAATATTTTTCTAAATTAAATAGAGGTGTTGTGTTAAAAATTATAAGTTAAAGTTTAAAAAACACTATCTCATCAAATAGATTATTATAAGAAATAGTTTAAAATGACAATATCCCATTGGACATAGTGAGTAATGGGCAGGCAACCAATTAGAAAAAGTATGTGATTACTTTGTCTTGTTATGATGACATTTTCTATACTTGCCTCTCTAATTTCTTCACCAACTGTCCTATTTATAACACAAAGAAAAAATCAACACTAACAAGAATACATATATACTCCATTAACACATACTTTAACTAAGTCATAACTAAACATTCGCATTCAAGTCAAAGGTATAAGAAAGATCCAGAAATTTGCAACAAAACCCATGGAAGCTTTACAAAGATCTGCAGTTTCCTTCAGAAGACAAGGTTCATCAGGATTTGTTTGGGATGATAGGTTTCTACAAGAAGAAATTAACAAAATCAACAAGAATAATCAGAGTAATAATCAAGAACAAGAGAAAGACGAAATCAAAGAGATCAATCGCGATGAGCCTCCGCAGCTTGGGTCGATTAATACTGTGCAGAGAAGTCGTTCAACCGGCGGAGGTCGTGGTTTTCGTACTGGAAAAGTTTCGCCGGCGATTGAGCCGCCGTCTCCGAGGATCTCTGCGTGTGGATTTTGTGGTGCTTTTGGGAAAGTAGGGGAGAAGACGAAACCGCCTAAGCATCGATCTAGGTAGGGTTTGAGTGATGGTTTGTGTTGGTCGGTGGTTTGAAGCGGTGGTTATTGTTGCCGGAGATGGGATATTCCGGTGAAGGTGAAAAGGTTATGATGATCTTGTGTAATACTAGTATTAATTAATTACTTTAGGTTTGTGGGGTAGTAGTGCCTAGTAGTGGTTGAGTTGAGTTCATCATGAATTTGTATTGTTAATTAAGAACATAATGATGATGGGTCTTGTTTTATTTTTCCTTTTGCTACTTTTATTACAATAGTATTCTAGTGGTATTAAACTTTTTGTTTATGTAGTCTACAAACTCTTAATTGTATTAGATAAATACATAGACATGTGTTATATCTAGATTGGGCTATGAATTGAATAGGAGTAGGAATGGTTATTTTCATGATGGATTTGATGTTTGCTTAAATATTACTATTTTGATTAGATTCTTTACTTTGATTGGTTTATATAATTGGTCAATGTATTTTAAAGTTCACGATTTTGTTCTTCAATTAAAAATGTAACACGAATGATTTAACATTTTTTAATTGAGACACAATTTTGATTATGCAACAGTTGAGATGTTTTCCTAAAAATTAAATTGTATATTTGCTACACAAGAAATAGATGCGTGACACCTCTAGGTTAATAGGGGTGGTCAGATGTTTTAGTGATTTGTAGATGTCAGGGCAAGTTCACAAGAATGAAGAGCTCTGTTTTGGAGGTGTTTTTTATACAATTAGAGTAAGCTCACGAGAGTGAGAAGCTTTGTTACTAAGGTAATTTTAGTGAATATCAGATTGATCCTCTTCAACCATAAGGTTGAGATTTAAACGAGACTATAAGTCGAGTCTCTCATGCGTGACTTTAGTTGAGTCTCGGGCAAGACTTTAGATGAGTTTGACTAATGAGACTCTTAGTGCCTTAGGTGAGGTATTTAAATGAGCATGACTGATGAGACTCTTAGTCGAGTGCCTCAAAGGAATTCTCATAAAATTATACAGCTAATTCACAAACACAAACATGCTTTAAAGCCGATATTTCTCAAAGTAAACAACCTACACATGTTTTGGAGTCGTGCCAATTGAATCGGGAACTGTCATAATGTTTTGGACAAAATTTGAATTATACAATTTATTAGCATATTTACCCAATCGGCTCGATTATCGCAAACGTCTTTGTATCCATTCTTTCCATTTTGATCATTTGCAAACGATTATTGAGGGCTCTTACTCAATTGGGTTTAGGAGCTAATTAATTGGAAGATTTATTTTGGCCCATGGATCATTCCTTTCTTGTGACAACCTCTAGCCTATAAATAAGGGGCCTCTCCCATCACATTTTCACATCTATAAAACATGAGTTCTTAGTCTCACTCCTCACTCTCTCTCTAAAATAGTTTCTATTTTCTCTCACTTTAATTTAGCTATGGCACTTTGAGAAAACCTTTGTGTTTAAGTAAGGTTTTGTATTATGGAAATAAGTGTTATTGTAAATTCACCCAGGAGTGTTTTTCTCTTGGTTGAATAATTTATCCTTAAGGAAGTGTTTGTTTGGGTTCAAAGGTAAACACTCTAAAAGCTTTGTTTGGGGATTTAGTTTCTTATGTCAACATTTTGGTTCGTAAGCTCATCATGCGTAAAAGCTTACTTTGGTTTGAGATCAACTCGTCTTAAAATCTCAATTAGGATCGAGATCATCCTGCTTTAAAATCTCAACTCGGTTAGAGATCAACCTGGTTTAAAATCTCACTATGACTTGAGATCATCCTAGTTTAAAATCTCACTATGTTTCACGGTTAGCTTGTTCAAAATCCCAGTTTGGTTCGAGTTCAACACAATATAAAATCTGAACTTGGTTTATGGTCACCCTGTTCAAAACCTCACATTGGTTCAAGATAGGTCTGTATCAAATCTCAATTTATCTTGGGTGCTAACTGCTTCAAGTTTGTGTTTGGAAGGAAGATTAACCAATACAGTCCATGTTTGGAAGGAAGACTAACCCACCTTAGTCCATTACTCTTTGTTTGGTTGAAAGTTAGCCGGAAACTTCATTTTTTCTTGTAAAAGGGGTTCGAGAATTTAAATTATTAAAATCTCTTTAGCATTACTAAATACTCTCAAAACTAGGTCTTAGGGACATGATTAGGTCTTTTTGACCAAACATGTATAATTCTCGTGTGTTATTTCTCGTTCCCTTAACTCTTTATTTTTAACATATTTACTTTCCGCTCCTATTTCTAAATTTTTTTTAATCAAAAGTTTTAAAACTATAGTTTTTCTAAACCCCATAATTCACCATTTCTTGTATGTGGAGTCATATGTCCAACAACTGGCATCAAAGGCTAACTCTTGTTCAAAGACTAATCGTCTCAGAAGGAAGATGACTTCTAACACTTTTTCTAACAAGAGATCTTTCTAAAACACACCTCCACCATTTAATGGTATAAGGTTTGAACTAGGGAAAACTAGATTCAACAAATTTATTCAAAGTGTTGATATTGAATTGTGGGAAACAAGAATCAATGAACCATTAATCCTTACTCACCACATAAATAGAAAAGTAGTAGATAAACTCGATTTTCTATGGACCATAGACGAAAAGAGAACATTTGAGATTGATTTAAAAACTAATTTTTTTAGTAATGTATTTAGATTATAGTAAACTTCTTTATATTTAAAATTCTAAAATATGCCAAGGAAAATGCAGGGTACTCTCAAAATGATATATGAAGTTTCTCCAAGTATCGAATGAGAGGAAATGAAAACACAAGGTGAAGAAGATGAATGCTTCATTCAAAAAATGTTTTTCCAAATTTATAAAGGTTAAAAATTCTCTTGGAACAACTTGATCGGGAAAATAGCAAGTGTACTATTTTTACCGATTGTAGTAATAAGGGAAGAGTCCCCAGTATCGATCTCGCGGACTGCGTGGTAATTAACGGGATTTTTAGGATTCAAAGGAACAAAAAGTCTAGTAGGTTGTTTGGTAGCAGAGTAACACAACAAGTAAATAAAGACTTATAGATTAATCTAAGAACGATGTTAGGGGAGTGGACATGATGCGAGTAAAGACCATGTAGGATTATCCTGAGATAATAGTTATTAACCTTAATTCATCAGTTCTCAAAGTTAGTTTTCCTTAATTCCTTAATAGAAACCCTTTGATGAGTTTCATGTACACTGATTCCTCAGTGTCCATGAAAAGCATCAAGCAATAGTTCTGACAATAAAATACGTGATACGGGATATCCCCATTCCTGAGCAATATCTATCGTGATATTATTTTGCAAAAGTGTTAGGTTGACTTTCCAGACCAAAACCTAATCAAGAATCGAATTCTACTTTCCAATATGAATACGCATGAAGATTGTTGCAAAATAATATATATATATATATATATATATATATATATATATATATATATATATATATATAAGGTGAATAACATAATTCTCATAGAATAACCAAACAAATGTCATTACATCGCAACTTAGGACCACCCCCTAACAACTGAGGGTTTAGCTGCTCATGTTCTTTGTAAACATAAATGCAATTAAAAATGAAAAGGAGAAGATCATTACAATTCAAGTTGGGTCACTTGGATCATCAATTGCTTCCGCTTTTGATCAATCCTTCGTTCTCCAGAAAAACTCTCTCCTCAGTTGTCAATCCTAATCTTCCTTCCAAAGTCCCTGCTTCTTTCTAAAAAGTGGCTCTTATATTTAAATTCAAATTACATCGCGAAATGTCTCAAATGCCCTTCGAAATAGGTCTGACAGCATAAAAATCAGAAAAACAACAATTTCACTATCAGTGGCCATGACACGGGCCGTGTTGTGCAACACGGGTGGCCGTGTCAGGCTGCTGAATACACAGGGCGCATTTTCTTCTATAGGGGATGCAACACGGGCCGTGTTGTGTGACACGGGCACCCGTGTTGTACCTCTGTTCTCCATTTTTCTCTGCTTCTCTTGCCCGTGTCTTCCAACCGTGTCCTCCCTGACACGGGCCGTGTTGTGTAACACGGGTACCCGTGTTGTGCCTCTGACTTCCATCTTTCGACTTTTCTTTGCCTCCGAAAACAGTGCGACTGTCATGCTATCAATTCCTGCCAAAAACACACTAAAAGAAACCGAATCAAACGCACCAGCGGCAAGAGTAATACAAACTTCAAAATAAGACTTGAATAAAAAGCAACTACGAGTAACTCAGATAACAAAAACTAAAGCTTCGAAAATAGATAAAAATGGTGTGAAATTAACAACAAACAGCGTTTGAAAACACAAGTGAACTCCACCGATCAAACTCCCCCGAACTTGAACTTTTGCTTGTCCTCAAGCAAAAAGCTCGCCAAACCGAACCTACAATATCTTTTTTCATAACGGAACCGTCCATAGAACTGTGAGTTACGGTAATGATACTCATACTTGAACTTCTCGTTCCAAGTCCCACTAGGATTAATCTCGGCTTTTCCCTCAAAACAGGTAACATACAAACACTAGACTACGGTAAACCACAGACCTCAGTCTCCCTATTGGTAACCTCTCCGACTATGCTTTGTACTTAAGTCTTTTTTTTCCGATTTTCATCCCTTTCATTCGGACAATCACTATAACGGCTTTTATGATTTTTCCTCGCGTGCACAAGATTGATCAACGAAATTGTTTTCTTTTTCTGGCACTGTTATTATTTTTGAATGGCTTTCAGGTTCGACCGCCGTTGGGCTGAATAACCGGGTGAGAGTTACCCAACTTAAAAGGATTAGTCGTCTAACTGCCCTTTTTTGTTTGTTTTTCTGTGCCTTCGCTCAATATTTTTCGTTAACCTTGCACACACGATTCTTATTGATTAAACCCGATTGTCAAAATAAACTACTCAGGGGTACTTCTCATATCAAAGCACTATGGTACAAATCTACACGTCGAACTCGTTCCTATTCGGGAAACCCAGGGTGTCTGCTTTTTACCTATCTCTCAAGATTGTTCCGATTTCATCCTCACAGTTCTTTTTCTGAGT